GAGGACAGTGGAGAAGTGAGCGAGGACAGGACCCCCAGAGGGGTCAGCCAGGGAGACTGCAACCGGCCGACCAAGCGGCGTGAGTGTGGTGCAGTCTCGAAAGAAGGAGCGAGAAGCCCCAGAGTCAAGTGTAAACGTGAGGGAGGCCGAAGCCAACGCGGTACCTGAGAGCGCAGCCTCACCCGCACCTGAGGAAGCAGACTCACTAGCACCTAGAGCAGCAGCCGCACCTGTACCTGGAGCAGGAGACTCACTAGCACCCAGAGCAGTAGCAGCCTCACCAGTAGCTAGAGCAGCAGGTCCTATACCCGGGTCAGGCGGGACGCACAGGTGACCGGCACGGTCAGCACTAGTAGGCAAAGCATACATGGCAGTGAGAATAGCATCATAGTCAAGAGCAAATATATCTACCCTCTGCCTAAGCAACTCCACCCAGTCGTGGAGCTCAGCCTTGTCGCCAAACACGGTACGCCAGGCGTCGCTCAGACGGGCGAAGCAGCGGGACTGTGTATGACCAGGTGTCCCACAAGGATGACCAGTCCGAGCACCAGTGAGAATCACGTAAGAGCAGCGAACAGAATTGAGAGACCCTCTACTCTGAGCGTACCACTCACAAAGCTGCTGAGGCGTGAGAGACGCGCGGGGGGGTCGCGGGAGCTGCATCTGGCCGCCACCAGTAGTAGAAGCAGCAGGAGTGGTAGCTGTAGTAGCGCCACCACCCCTACAACCCCAACCAGCGTACCACTCACGCAGCTGCTGGGGCGTGAGGGACTCACGGAGACGTCGATGGGGCTGCATCTGGCTCCACCAGTAGAGGCAGGAGCAGGAGTAGCAGCAGTAAGGCAGGCAGCCAGGCAAGCCAAAAAGGGAGGCAGGCAGGCAAGCAGGCGACGCGCAGCGTACTAGCAGGGCAGGGGCTCACCAGTGGTGGGTAGAGTAGGCTCGGCGAATCAGCGGCTCGGCAGCACGGCGGCTCTGCGGCTCGGGCGACTCGGGCGGCTCGGCGGCAGGGCGGCTCGGCAGCAACTGCAGCTCGGCAGCTCGGCGACCCGCAGCGCGGCTGTAGGGCGGCTCGGCTGCTGGGAGGCTCGGGTGTAGAGTGGCTCGAGACGAAGGAGGAGGAGAAGCAGGGGAGACCACACACCTGCCACCCCGCAAGCGGCCCCCTCAGGTCGCCTCGACAGGCGACGGGAAAAAGGGGGGGGGGGGGGGGGGGGGGGAGACGGCTCGGGCGGCTCGGGCGGCACAGGCGGCTCGGGCAGCTCGGGCAGTCAGCGGCACAGGCGGCTTGGGCGGCTCGGCTCCTCAGCTGCGCAGACGGCTCGGGCGGCTCAGGCTGCACGGCGGCTAACGGGCGGCGTGGGGGGCCGGGACGGTGGCGTGCAGCAGGGACGGGCGGCGCACGGGCGGTGTGAGGCCGGGACGGGCGCGCGCGGGTGGCTAGGGGCCGGGACGGGCGCGCGCGGGTGGCTAGGGGCCGGGACGGGCGGCGCGCGGGCGGCTAGGGGCCTGAACGGGCGGCGCGCGAGCGGCTAGGGGCCGGGACCGGCGGCGCGCGGGCGGCTAGGGGCCTGAACGGGCGGCGCGCGAGCGGCTAGGGGCCGGAACGGGTGGCGCGCGGGCGGCTAGGGGCCTGAACGGGCGGCGCGCGAGCGGCTAGGGGCCGGGACGGGCGGCGCTCGGGCGGCTAAGGGCCGGGACGGGCGGCGCGCGGGCGGCTAGGGGCCTGAACGGGCGCGCGCGGGCAGCTAGGGGGCCGCAGGGCAGGCCGAAAGAGTGAGAGCGAGGGCCCGGAGCGCGCTCCGGGCAGAAAAAAAAAAGTTTAAAAGTGGTGGGCCCTAAGCACCGTTCCCACGGGGGAACCTGCTCGATACCATGTGAGAATAGAACGAGAAATGAATGCACTAGGAAAGAGTTGGGTACAAATAGCAAAACCCTAATTGGGTTGTACCCCCTATGGGATACCCCACTGTAGCCTACACAACAGCATAAGCTACATATATGTTCTGGCATTATCTTCACCATGCAATTGACAATGTTTCTCGCTCCTTGTGCAGATTGTCCTGTTGGAGTCGTTGAAGCTTGGATTGAGGTCGTCGGATTTGCTTGTCTTGAGGCAACTTGGGAGCTTGAAGGCCGGAGTTGTCGCTGTGGTGTTGTCTGACGAGACGGGCAGTGCGTGGGAGGGTGTCCCGAAGTCTTGCAGATATGGCAAAACGGAGGTACCGTCTTCACTTGTTGCTGTTGTCGATTGTTGTTGTTGTTGTATCGTCGCTGAGTGTGAAACGCAAACGCCGGTGCTAATGTTTTCTTCTTGTGTCTTTCTTCTTGCAGGTCCATGTCTTGCTGCTCGGCATGAATTTCGGCGCAGAGTGCCGCTTCGGAAATCCTCCCGTGTGCTCGTAATATGGCGCGAGTGGAGCGCTAGTGGGGGCCGAGACCGCCGATGACCACCGTGACAAAGGCGTCTTCTGAAATCGACCCTCCGCATCGAAGAAGCTTGTCGCGCAGTTCGCGGCAGCGGCTGATATAAGCCATGCCTTTCTCGCCTGGTTTCATTTCAATTGTTGTCAACTGCGCCATTAACCTGCTTTGATTTACGCTGTCTGTTGCTTGATACAGGTTCTTCAGGTGGTTGTACGCGAGCTCCGCGGAGTTGCCGTAGCCTCGGTAATTCCTGATGTTCTGCTGCTGGGTCGGGGTGATGTTTCTTAGCAGTATCGTGTACGCCATCATTGATTGATAGGTGTACTGCTGCTTCTCATATTGTGTCCCGTTTGTTGGATATGGCAGGGACCCGTCGAAGAAGCCGAGAATCTGTGCTCCTTCCATCATCAGTTCGAACTCGAACGACCAGGTGAAGAAGTATTTTCCGTCGAAAGGCTTTGTCGTTTGCAGCTTGAGAACATGCGCGAATTGCGATTGAACTTGTAATGCGTCCAATGCCCTTTCTTGTCCCGGTGCAGATTGCGGTTGCGGCATGAAGCTGACGGAGCCACGCTGGGGCTCGTATGGCGCAAAGGTAGGCTGTTGTTGTTGTTGTTGAATTCCGCGTGCGTAGGATGAGCCGTCGAGACTCATAGGAGTTACGTTGTTGTTGTTGCTGTTGTTTGACTGCGCAGGTACTCCTTGCTGGTGCTGCTCGTAGAAGGACATGAAGGAGAAGAATTTCTCCATCATGCTTGGATCGAAGCCTGCGGGCGTTTCCGTAGACCCAGCTGCTGGTCTCGTGGTAGTCCCTTCTTCCGTCTGTAGACCAGAGACAGAAGGTGGAGTAGCGGTAGTGCCTGGAGAACCGTTGGAGGAGCTCCTCTCCTTCCTAATAGACATGTCTTCTTTGTATTAAGTATTAAGAGAAAAAGTAACTTTGTGTCAGAGGTCCATTGGTGATCCCCGATTGATCCTAGGGAAGGGTTACAGGCATGTTGGCCTGGGGGGTTATGGGCGCACTGACCCGTTACTTAACAAGCCCTTTTATCCCAATGGTCTAGTGGTTGGGATTCTGACATGGTATCAGAGCGGTCTCGGGTTCGAATCCCAGTGTATGCACTTCGGGCATCCCAGTGCGGGGGGGTGTCAGAGGTCCATTGGTGATCCCCGATTGATCCTAGGGAAGGGTTACAGGCATGTTGGCCTGGGGGGTTATGGGCGCACTGACCCGTTACTTAACAAGCCCTTTTATCCCAATGGTCTAGTGGTTGGGATTCTGACACTTTGAACTCTATCTGCTCTCATACCATGTTGGGTTGAGATGCCCTATGATCTTTGTAGAGTTTAAGTCTGAGTAGGATTGTAATAGCGGAAGCGTTTGAATGAAAAGTCCTTGAACCACCTTGCGCTAGTATGTGAGGGCAAAGTGAGTTGATTAAAACAAGCAAATACAAGGCTTTATACAAGAGGAGAAGGAATACGAATAGATATAGTTAAACTGTTTTGCTGTTGCGATTCGATACAGTGCGACTAGGGCAACTGCTCAATGTCGAGTCAATTGTGTGTCCTTGCTGTCGCGATGTATTTGTCAAGTCAAAGGTCGCTGACTTTTGACCTTCGCGTAACCTCCTGGCGGTTATCCTAACCTCCGAGGGTTGACTCGCGATGCTTCGATTTGGACTGCTTCGCTTGTGTCCTGAGTTTCGACACGACAGAGGCGCTTTAAGACTTATTGTTCCCAACACCGCTCATATGGCTTCGTGCGCAAAACTTGAAGTATAATACTTGATTTTTTTTTTCTAAGTATTTGTATCACCTTTCCATGCATAACCCGTGCATCAATCAAACGAATAGATTTTTAACCAGGCAAGATGGAAAAAAAACAAAATCAGACTAAAATTTCAGAAAGGCTACCCACAGCTGCTTTTTGGCATGCACCAGCTCAAAGGGAGAGGTGTCCTCAAATGTGCATGTACTGGTATGTCCTTACAAGTAGATCCAAAGTTGTATGTATTGTCACGGCTAACGGATTCGCTCTGATAGCGGAGTCTGTCGGTCGACCACCTCCAACGGTCTTGTTTGTTCTGCAAGGCGGGGGATTGCATGGTTTGCCCAACGTCCAGTCGCACCAACCGGGCAAACTTCGTCGTCGACGGTCGCTCAGCCGGAAAGCGTCGCAGAAAGACATAAAGCGCAGGGATCAGTCTCTGAGAACGACGATATACCACACAGACACGTACCAAACCATACTGAACACCGAGAGAATCGAGATTCTGGAATTTGGTTTGGAGAGATTCCAGAAATTTGTTTGGAAGAGGGAGGGGGAAAAGAGGGAGACACTGTACAGGACCTCCCAGTTCACTCACGACACGAGTCACAAATCACCAGGGACTTACATCAGGGACAGTGAAGGGATACTAGGAGGAAACACAACACACCTTCACCTCCCCTCACCTGCTTGTACTGTACCTGCTTTTCTGATTTGCACATACAGAACTTCCTCAGACCAGCTGATCCGTGTGCTGATTGGGAGAGCATCGGGAGCGCGAATTTCTGTAAAGAGGTGCACCATGTCGTCTAACGAGAAGGCGACGGTGACTAAGGAGCAGAATGACCGCCATAGAAAGGCAAGGATCTCTCTTCGATGCCTGTCGTCTAGTTTCATCTTAGGTTCATTAGCTAGGTAGTTTAGTCGACAGATTTTTTAAGTTATTCTTCCGGTCGTGTACTTATTTTCCGTTCTACTGCTTCTCATGTCAGATTCCGCTTTTGTAAAGCTAGGATCACACCGAAATCTGTGGCTTCATATCATTACGACAGTTGATTTCAATGTTAGATGTGCGACCCGTTGTCAATTCGGCGTATTGGCCGTCAGTTTATCAATGGATCTACATCCACTCGATCAATTTATCCCGCTCCACGATCTCGCGAATGCGTTTTCTCGGCTTTCCTGATTCGCTTGTCCTTTCTCACCCCTTAATAATCGCGCTGGTGAAGTATTTCCACCTCCTGTTTCCTCTCCTTCAGATTCTGGACGGTCTTTTGAAGCTTCCCGAAAACCGAGAATGTGCTGACTGTGGCTGCAAGTAAGCACGTTATTTTGCTGCTTGTCATCTGTATGGCTGTGCTGACGAAGCGAAGCCGAGAATTTCATTATGTGAGTTTGACAAATCTGTAATTTTGTTGTGATGGACAGAGGGCCTCGCTGGGCGAGCGTCAACCTAGGAGTTTTCCTGTGCATCCAGTGTTCCGGCATTCATCGTAGCCTGGGAGTGCACATCTCGAAGGTGAGTCTGTCCTCCCAACTACGTTCTCTCAATCTGTTGTTTGTCTCAAACGCGTCGCGCCATCTTAATGGAAGTCCGGGTTGCATCTGTGACCTGTCGTCACTTCAATTACAGTCGTATACGACTTGGTACTGGTGATATTCCGTTGAGCTTGCGTTAACGAAGGTGCCATGTCTTCATGATGTGCAGGTTCGATCAGCTACGCTTGACACATGGCTGCCGGAGCAAGTGGAATTCATGCAGTGTAGGTGACCTGTGCCATGTGCCATACGCCATGCATACACTGCTGCTGATTCGATTTCAAATCCGGTACCCTCTGATTCTCGTTTCATATCCTTCTTTCCTTCACTCGTTGATTTTTTTTGTTTTCCAAAACAATGGTCTACTCTTGTCCCAGCTATGGGCAATGCCAAGGCCAACGCTTATTGGGAAGCGGAGCTGCCACCACATTTCCGCCGCCCAGCAGAGGTTGACAAGGGAGCCTTGGAGGGTTTCATCCGTGCCAAGTAAGTTCACTTCACGTGCCAGCTATGGGCGATTACAAAGAGATTCACTTCACGTCCACCTTCACGTGGTTACTGTGGCACAGGGTTTTCCTCAGTTTTCTCTACTCTGTTTGCTGCTGGTTATTTGTTGCTAGTTGTTGATGCTGACAGCTGATTGCTTGCTGGCTGCTGGTTGTCGATTGCTGCTTGCTGCTAGCTGCTTGGCGGCTGGTGGTTGTTATTTGACGCTTTCTGCTTGTCTTCCCATTCGCTGGTAGCTGGTTGCTGTTTGCTTTGTTTTGGATGCCGAGGGTCAAAACAACCTCTTCTCCTTATTCAGGTACGAGCAGAGGCGCTGGGTCCGGCTGAACGACGAGGAACGTGCTCGCATGCGGCAGAGCGCACGGGACGAGGATCGCAGCAGGGAACGCGACCGGGACCGGGGGGAACGGCCCCGCCGGTACCACGATTCGGATTACGACAGGGACTGGAGCCACGGCGCCCATGCCACTTACAACCGCGGTGGTAGCGGCAGCGGTGGCGGTGGTGGGGGTGGGGGTGGGGGTAGCAGAGTAGGCTCGTACGATTCATATGACAACAAGTATGATCGTTACGGCGGGTCTGGTGACAGGGACAGGGGCGGAGGTGGTAGGTACGATTCTCATGGAGGGTATGATAGGGATCCACGGGGTGGCGGCGGCGGTGGCGGGGGGTATGATCGTGATCCGCGTGGTGGGTACGACAGGGACCGTGGGGGAGGGCAAAACTCCCGAGACAGGGACTATGGGCGTAACCGGAATGAACCGGAGCCTCGCTCGCGTCCGGAAAGCAAGGCACCTAGCACCACACCTGTCAAGGTACTAGTCTCCTTCGTCTCTCCCCCATCCCTCCGCTCTTCTTTTTCTCTTCCTTTCCGCTCGCGATTTTGTCTCCCAAAACTGCTGCTCATGTGTGTATCTCTAGTTTTCTGTCCTGTTTTGATCTGGGAAGCTTAACGGTGGGCTTCGTATCATTCGTTGTCCAATGTTTTTTTGCTGCTCTGCTTCGTTTCATTCTTGCGTCGTGCCATAGGTGACCATGTCAAGCGGTCAGCCAGCAGCAGGAGCAGCAGCAACTCCTGTTCGCCCCCTGCCTGGCCCTGGCTTCACTCAACTCCCCCCTGTGCAAGCTCCTGCTGCTCCTGCTGCTGCGCCTGCTCCAGCGGCTGCAGCTGCAGCCCCTGCTGCCGCTGCTGCATCGCAGCCTGCTCAGACTGCCGATCTCTTTGATCTTCTCTCGATCAGTGAACCGGCTGCTGCGGCTCCTGGTGCAACCGCTGCAGCACCTGCAGCTGCTGCTCCTGCGGCCACTCAACAAGCAGCTCCTGCTGCAGCAGGAGCGTGGGCAGCTTTCCCTGGTAAGGACACACACAATTTATATGCATGATATCTGGTCAAGGAAGCTAAGTTGGGGTATTAGGCAGTAATTCCGTTAACCATTCCCCGTTCACTCTTCACATGTAGTTATGGTTCTGTGCGTAAGTCGCCCTTCTTCCGAGCTCCTTCCGTTATCTCGCCTCTTCCCTCCCTGTGTCTCCATCTCATCCTTTTCAACCGGTTCTTTCTCCTTTTCTTTTCCGGTGTATCATGGTCACTTCTACAGAGGCTGCTGCTGCTGCTGCTCCAGCTGCCAGCGCCCCTGCTCAAGCCACCACAGCAGCAAATCCCCTTGCCGACTTGTTTGCTGCAGAGCCGGCAGCTGCTCCATCTGCTGCACCTGCTGCACCTGCTGCTGCTGCTGCTGCAACAGCACCCAAGAACGTCAAGTCTGATATCCTGAGCCTCTTTGAGCAGGTGTGTTGTTCATTCGGTTCTATCTCCAGTAATTATGTTTGTGCATTCGGCTTTATTGTCCTTCTATCTCAAGAGTCTTTATGAGCCTTGTTTTTCATGGTTGCTTTGTTGAGCTGTTCTCCCTCGTTCTTCCTCTCCCCTCCTGCTACCAGGCACCTGCCAGCAGTCCATTCCTGGCACAGCAGCAGATGGCAGCTGCTATGTTCGCCCAGCAGCAGTACATGGCTGCAGCCGCTGCAGCTGCTGCTGGTACCAATGCTGCACCTGCTGCAGGGGGTGCAGCAGTCAACATGTCTGCAGGGGGAATACCTGGTCTTGCTGCTGTCCCTGGTGCTGTTCCAGGCGCTGCTGTTGGTGGAGCACCTGCAGCCGGGGTAAGTAGGGACACACCAGTTGAAGCGGTTTTGCCATCTAGTTCCCTGTACATATGTTTTTGCGAGTGCATTTATTATTCATTTCCCAGCTTTATGTTTCTATAACGACGACACCTTCTGCTTCCCACCCTTCTCTACGGCAGGCTGGTGGTGCCATGTTTGCGATGCCTGGTTTTGTGCCCGGAGCTGTACCAACATTCCCTGCTGCCGGGTATTTTCCCTTGCCCCACTGCACTTGCTCCACCATCCAAAACTTTCCAATGTTTTGTTCCTTGTCTCTTTGGCTGTCCACTTCTTGATGTTGGAACTCATAAGTGGTTGGATCATTCTTTTAGTCATCATTAATGTCTCCAGCCTGGGAAGTTCATTCATCATCTCACTTGTGTTGTGAATGCAGGGTATTTCCAGGGCAGGCAATGCCTGGAGGTTACCCGCAGTTCATCCCAGGAATGACTCCCCAGCTCTTCCCTGGTCAAGTGCCTGGAGCTGGTGCTGATGCTGGTTTTGGTATGCCCCAGGGCTTCGCTGGCTTGGCCGGGGTGATGCCTGCTGCTGTAGCTTCTCAACCAGCGGCTCCAGCTCCTGACACTGGTGCAAGCTACGACTTCTCGTCCCTCACTGCAACAGCGCTCCGGAAGTAACTTGCCGCAACATGGCTGCTTCATGTCGTGAACCCATCTACTGAAATGTTGCACTTTCGGGTACAAGTCAAAACTCGTCCACGTATTTCACTGTCTAGTATCTTCAATTCCAGCTGTAACGTCGCTTGGGGAACTAAGTATTGACGAATTCCAAGTTATGGACTAATGCGGTAATATTATGATGTGTACGTGAGGGGTGCACTCTAGAAGAGTATTCACAAAATGGCTCCAAGGTTTTCCGATAGTATCGGTGAACTAGCCAGGTGGCGCGTGCGCGTTGGAAGACGATGCCGTCCACGGAGGCATTTTTCGGAATTTCACGTGCGTCCGCGTGTACTGAAAGTTGCTGCTTCAGCGCGGCTGGCTGGTTGGTCGCCTGACAGCCCATTGGGTAGGAGCAACCACAGTTGCTTTCCCAGGGCCTTTCCAGATCAGCGCTCTGGTGTCAGTGCCACGAGGCATGGCAGATATTGTTCACGTGGCGGGCAGGCTATGGTCGAAAGAGGTAAAGTGCAGCTCAAGCAAGAACCCAGGGAATACTCGACCCACCTCCTCGAGATTGTCTCTCTTTCATTGCTTTCCAGGGACCACATCACCAGATCGGAAAGAGCCAGGTGTAAGAAAGTGGGATTTTGGGATTACGGTAGTGTCTCTTCCTGAAAAGCGATGTGCTTCCTAGTCTTGTAAATCAGACTGGCTATTTCCTGTTGGCTGGATCATAAGAGCTTGTCGTGATTCTCAAGCGTAATACGCTTGTGTTTTTTTGCGCCTTCTTGCCGCGTGCCTGCCAGTTTCTACGCCTGCTGTCCAGGCTGCAGCTGAAGGCGTTTCTAAGCTGCGTGCACGACCCTAGTGCAAGGTGATGTGCTGTTAAGTGTGGAAGACGTTCGTGCCTGGCGGATCTCGCTTCTGGTTCTTGGGTGGAAGCGAAATCTTCAACCTCAACCAAGATGCAAACATGTATGTCCTATCCAGTCAGCCAACTCGGTGTGCGCACAGTGAAACTCCATCGGCATGATTCGACAACTTCGCCTGTCTACATTTCAAGCTGTGCTAGGACGTGCAGTCCTCTAAAAAGTACGTTCACTCAGACGTGGCGACAGGATGGGCTGCCGCTGCCAGGTCCGCCTGTGCGACGTCAACAATTGCTCGTTTGTTCGGGTAACCGTTCCTCAGACCGCACGGCGCACCAGAATTCAGCCAGTCATAGACGCGGCTCAGTGACTCGGCGCGCAGCGGTGACCTCCGAGCCGACGCCGGAGTCCGGAGGGGAAGGTTCTGTGCGCCTTCCCTCCGCTGGAAGCCTGTTCAGAAAGATCGCGTCGAGTATTCCCTTGCCTCGTCAAACGAAACCCGCTCAACCATCTTCCGCACCCACTTCTTCAACGGCTAGTTCATCCTCACCGTCAATCGCAACCGGAGATTCCTCATTTTCCGGTTCAGCCGTCAAGTCCTCGGCGGGTATACGACCCAGGTCTAAGAGCGGGGGGGATACGGATCTGGACCCTAGTCGCGCGCTTCCGTTGCCCATGACGTATCCAGACTCGAAGCCGCTTTCGCTAGAGACTGTGGAAGACATGGTTCGCTGCGACCCCGAAACCCAGGTGAGCTTGGAAGCACAAATTGAAGGAATGGGACGGATTGTTGGGTGCGAGAGGGGAAGGGGGAAGTTGAAGGGGAGGGGGAGGGGGAGGGGGAGGGGGAGGGGGAGGGGGAGGGGGAGGGGGAGGGGGAGGGGGAGGGGGAAGGGGAAGGGGAAAGGGAAGGGGAAGGGGTAGGGGAAGGGGAAGGGGAAGGGGGAGGGGGAGGAGAGGCGAGAGGAAGGGGGCACTTGCAATGGGCCAAATGCAGCCCCTGCCACGTTTCTCCCATCCGCCGACTATTGCATGCAGCTCGGAATGTGCTTGAATATGTTTACCGGTAGTTTATGGGAGTGTGCCGGATAGCTCATGCTTACAGTTTGTCCCATGGCCTTCCTTGCAAACTGCAGAATTGCAAAGAGGTGGTGTTCCAGTGGACGGGCAAATGCAGTCGGTGCAATGGAGCAGGTTTTGTTACATTTCGAAGAAAGAAGGGGAAGGACTTTTCGGGGAAGTGCATCACTTGCCATGGAATAGGTACGCCCGTTGTGCCGTTCTTGTGCACTGCAAAATCACGTATCTTTTGCTACTCCAAGGGTATTTGTTAATTTGTTATGCCTGATCCCTAATCCCTCTTATCAACTCTTATGTTGGTGTTCTTTTCTGATTGGCAGGATATGTGAACAGATTCACTGTGAGGGATGACATCCGTGTCATGGAAGACCCTGACTATCCGTGGAACGATGAACGGTTGCTCTGATTAGAGAAAAATATCAACTGGTTAGATCTTTAGGTGGCATTAAATGCGATTGTACTGTTAAGAAGAAAAGGAAAACACTTCAGCTGAACATGTTTTGTTTGTAATGTTTCACGAAGATCCAACATGTGTAGCGCAAGAATGTAACACAAGCTACCCTTTGTTTTCCATCTAACGACGTGGAGTTCTTGTCGAGTGTTCTTGTAAGGAGGATTTTTTTCACCCCTCCCATGACTCGCTCAATTGAATCTGTTCGGCTGGTGCTTTTGACCAGAGTTCGCCAGACACAAATCTACCATACCGTTTCAGAATCACATCACCCAGCCTACCCCATCATCACATCTACTCTAGCAAAAGAATCTATGCGTAAAAGCATCGGCTGTCTAGCCAGCAGTGCGTCTTGATCGACGATCCGCGACGGTCAGCACCCAATCATGCTTCAACTGTAAAGCTCTTATTTCGACAAGATGACACTCGAACGAGCTTTTTCTTCCCGCGCCTCTGCGCCGCTGGATTGATGATTCAAGGAATTGTTTATACCGAGCAAATTCTCCAGTTTTTCCAAGGCTTCGGGAGGAGATTATCCTTGTTGCGAGTATCTCTGTCACGAGAAGTTTCGCGTTTCCTGCAATCGCGCTGGCCTGTTGCTATCCACACGCGCCATGTTTGAGAGCCTCTTTATTCTCGCCGATAACGGGTAAGGCTAGTAGGTGTTTCAGAACCGCACCGCACCGCACTCGGTGCTTGCTCAGTCAAGATTGCGCCTGTCTATGCAAGTATAATACAGCCGAGCAAGATCATTGCGCGCTATGACCAGCGAAAGCTACTGTTTCACAATCTCAGATTCCTTTACTCCTTTTGGTCGTCTCCTTATATTGTCCACGAGTACTTGGGAGCGCTATGACAAGCTATGACTAGCTCTGACTAGCTCTTTGACGCACTCCAGATAAAAATACGCGACGCGCCTCCGTGCCCACCTCCCCACACCCTCGTGTCTTCCTTTCCCCACGTCCCTCCGTCCTTCCCCTCTCCTACACGTCCCGGAAGGTGATCCTGGATGCGTTTCTGAGAATTTTCAAGAAACGCATTCCCCTGTTAACTCACGTCCCGAATGGTGATCCTGGAGAAACAGTGGGCCAGCAGAGCATAAGAGTGCGACTTTTGAGAATTCTCTTGTCAGCATAAAAGTCGCACTCATATGGGCCAGCAGAGCATCGTCTCTTGTTTGACAACCCCACTCCCCACTCTTCCCTCTATCCCCGTCCCCTTTTTCCCCCGTTCCCCGTTCTCCGACCCGCTTTACATCTTTCCCGTTCCCCGTCCCCCCTTCCCCTTCGCCCCGGTTCCCCCGTTCCCCCTTCCCTCCTCTTACCCTACCAGTGAGGTGATTCTGGAGAAGCAGTGGGGCGGCAGGGCGGGCGACAGGCGCATCTGCTCATGGTTCTGGTCGGTACTTGTAGACGCTAGCACCGCTGCTGCTACTACCACTGCCGCTGCCTCTGCTGCTGCCGGCACCGCCAGTGCTGCTGGCAGTGCTGCTGCTTCTGCCGCTGCTGCTGCTGGTGCGGCTGGTGCTAGTGCTGCTGCTGGTGGCGCTGCTGCTGGTGGTGCTTGTGGGGTGGTGCTGCCACCGGTGCTGGTGGCACCGCAGTGCTATGTGGTGCAGCAGCGGCATGAGGACGTGTTTCTGCTGCTCATCACCACACAGGAGATGCCACCGCTCATGGCTCTCGATGTGAGTGAGTCGTGTGAGTGAGTGGGCACTTTTCTTCCTGCCCAGACCCTTTTCCCTTATCTCCCCTGCAGCTGCTATCGTCGCTCATCCCATCCCTCCACCCCGTGATCCCCATGCCCTTTCACTTTCCCCCTGCTCTCTTACCGCATGCCCCGTCCCCCACCTCCTGCCCCCTGCGCCCCTCCCTCTCCCTCCCCCCCTCTTTCCCGAACCCCTGTTTCCCTTATCTCCCCGGCAGCTACTATCGTCTCTCATCTCTCTCCTCACCACGTATCTCGGCCGGGTGTGCGACGACTCGTTAAAGGACCATTTCGTTACAGTGTACGCTCTCCTGGACGAGGCGTTTATAGGGGGGATGCCTTTAACTTTAGAGCCTGCAATTCTCAAGGTACAAACACTACACCTGCCCCTTATTACTGGTTGCGTATCCCTCATAACTTATGACTTACTGTTTGACACTTTCCACTTATCACTTATCACGTTCTACTTTTCATGTACCACTCACCGCTTCCCAGGAGCTAGTCCCGCCGCCCTCACTGCTCGCCAAGGTGGTGGACACAATTACCGGGGGCGTGGGGGGAGCTTCAGCCACAAAGCCAGACTCCCATCACACTTGTCCCTCTCTTCTCCCCATCCCCTTCCTTGTCCCTCTCTTCTCCCCATCCCCTTCCTTGTCCCTCTCTTCTCCCCATCCCCTTCCTTGTCCCTCTCCCCATCCTCTTCCCCAGGAGCTAGTCCCACCGCCCTCACTGCTCACCAAGGTGGTAGACACGATAACCGGGGGCGTGGGGGGAGCATCAGCCACAGCCACGGCTGCCACAGCAGCAGCCAACATGCCAGCCCAGCTAGGCCGCTTCTTTGGCGCTGCTGGCGCTGCTGTTGCCAACTCTGTTGCCCAGTCCTTCACTGGTCGGCCGGGGGGGGAAGGCAGCTGGGGGGGAGGCGGGGGAGGGGGCGGCGGGGGGGGGGGCGGAGGGGTCGGCGGAAGGGGAGGCGGAGGGGGGGCAGGTCCGTCTGGTATGGGCGGTATGGCCGGTGCTGGTGCAGCAGCTGCTGCTGCTGCTGCTGGTGCTGGTAGTGCTGGTGCCACGGGTGCTGCTTCCGGTGCTGCATTGCCCTGGCGACCATTGGGACTCAAGTACTTGCAGAACGAGCTGCAAATAGAGCTACGGGAGCAGCTGGACGTCACTGTCGCACCGTGAGTGTTTGCATGTGCAGTCTTGTCACGCCTCAGAACTTGTCTCAAGGGTTTTGAACGTCTGAAATACCTGCAGAACGAACTGCAAATAGAGCTACGGGAGCAGCTGGACGTCACTGTCGCACCGTGAGTGTTTGCATGTCACTGTGTGGCACCATGAGTGTCTGCATGTGCGGTGTTGAGGCGTCTCAGAACGTGTCTCAAGAGTTTGGAATGTCTCAAACTCTGCAGAACCGTGATAGAGCTGCGAGAGCGAGAGCAGCTGGGTGTCACTGTGACACCGTGCGTCCCTCGAGGTGTAGGCTTGAGGTGTGTCCGTCTTTTGCAGTGACTGTGGTGCGTGTTTTCCAGTGGTGTTTTGAGTCAACTTTTAACGTCTTTTCCTTCCTTTTCCCTGTCACTCCCTGTCATTCCCTGTCATTCCTTGTTAGTGCCTGACATTCCCTGTCCCCCATCACCCCCATCACCCCCATCTGCACGGCTGGCAGATCGGGATTGGTGGAGCGGTGCGATGTGTACGGAGAGGCGCACGCCACGTGTCGCATGTCGGGGATGCCAGATGTCGCGCTGTCATTCGTCGACGCGCGTGTGTTCTCAGACATTGCCTTCCATCCCAGTGTGCGCTACCGGGAGTGGGATTCAGACCGTGTCGTGGCCCTCACCCCTCCTGATGGAAACTTCAAGCTCCTCTCTTACAGGTAATTCGAGTTTGAGTCGACTCAGATATCATTTTCAGACATTGCCTTCCATCCCAGCGTGCGCTACCGGGAGTGGGACTCTGACCGTGTTGTGGCCCTCACACCACAGGATGGCAACTTCAAGCTCCTCTCCTACAGGTAATTACCTTCTTCTGAGTGCTTCTCGGACTCGAAAGGCATTGTCAGACATGGCCTTTTTATCCCAGTGTGCGCTGTCAAGAATGGGACTCAGACCGTGTCGTCGCCCTCGCTCCTCCCCATGGCAACTCCAAGCTCCTTTCCTACAGGTAATCAGCTTCTCTCCCCTCCTCTCCTCTCTTCTCCTCTCGTCTCCTCTCCTCTCCACTCCTCCCCTCTCGTGCCTATTGACACCAATCTCGTCCCATCCCAGTGTGGAGTGTTGTGAGTCGACCCAAAACACATCGTGTTGGTGGGGAAGAAATTGTGTTACACGATCCAGGCTCACCTCTCCCCACTGTCCTCCTCCTTCCACTCCCGCTGTCGACATTCCCCCATCCCCCCCTCCCCCCGCTCTAACCTTCCATTCCCCCCCCATCCCCCCTGTCCCCACAGGGTTCGCAGCATACCATGCGTACCTGTCTACATAAAGCCGCAAGTAGCATTCGTGCAGGACAGTGGGCGGGTGAACGTGATGGTGGGGCTGAAGCACGACCCGGGCAAGCCTGTGGAAGGGCTCGTGCTGCTGCTGCCGCTGCCCATGCAAGTCGCCTCCTGCGATCTGCAGGCCAACGTGGGGACCGTGGCGTTTGACACTCTCACCAAGGTGAGTCGAGCTCTAAACCGCGTGGGAGGTGAATGTGATGGTGGGGGTGAAGCACGACCTGCAGGCGAATATGGGCATCGTGGCGTTTGATACATCACCAAGGTGAGTGTCTTGCACTCGAGGCCAACGTGGGCATTAAAGCTTGCGGAAGTCCTGCGAGTGCAAGCAAGTAGCCTGCAGGCTAATGTGGGCACTACAATGGGCATTTGTTTCTGCCACTAAAATGAGTGTGCTCGAGAGATTCTGAGTGAAAACGAATGGGCTTGTGTGACCTGTGGGCAAGTTTGGGCACTGAGACATCCTATGCACCCGGTGTTGCTGGCTCAGTTCAGAATCATGGGGGTTGCGATTGCGACTGCCCGGGAGCCTTCAGGATCCGCATTGCGTGTGTGTTTTGAGTCGACTCAAAACACACATTCTGTGTTTTTTGAGAATTCTCAAAAAACGAGCCTTCAGGATCCGCATTTCCATCCCTCCTCCCATCCGCCCCCCTCCCCCCACTCCCACCCCCTTACTCCGTCGCCGCACCAGCTCTGCACGTGGTCTTCTGTCCGGTTGTTTTGAGACTAGAACCCCCCGCTGCCTCTCAAGAAGGCTCCGCCTCTCCCCCAGCTTCAGGGGCGCCTCAAAAGTGTACTCTCCCCCACCTCCTCCAGGGCGGCTGCAGCTCAGCAGGAATTGCCAACACCCCGTTGCATCACATCCCTCCTTCCTCCAACCCCACACCCCCCATGCCCCATCCGTTCATCTCCTCACCAGCTACGTTTGAGGCGCCTCAAAAGTAGAATTGCCACCACCCCATTACAACGCATCCCTCCTCCAACCCCACACGCCCCATGCCCCATCCGTTCATCTCCTCACCAGCTCTGCACATGGTCTGTCGGTCGGATGCCCCGAGACAAGAACCCGTGTCTCTCTGGCGGGCTCCGTCTCTCCTCGCCGCTCCCGCGCCCGCACGTGCACCCGGTGCTGCTGGCGCAGTTCAGGATCATGGGGGCGGCGCTGTCGGGGGTGCGGATAGAATCGGTGGTGGTGAGAGGGGAGGAGAACCGGCGCCCGCACACGGCGTTCCGATCCGCCACCGTTGCCGGGTGCTTCCAGGTCAGGACTTGAGGAGAGGGAAGGGAAGGAGAGGGGGGGTAAACAGAACCACAGGTAGTGAATCGATCCCATTTCAGGACCGAAAAGGGGAGGGAGTTGAGGGGAAGTCTCGAGAGGTCCACTGGTGTGTGGGGGTGCTGCTGGCGCAGTTTCAAACCATGGGGACGGCGCTGTTGGGAGTGTCAAGAGGGGAGGAGAACCGGCGATTGCATGCGGTATTCTGATCCGTCACCACCGCAGGGTGCTTCCAGGTCAGGACTTGAAGAGGGGAAGAGGGGGGGGTTGAAATGGCTAAGTGTGGTGACTGGATTGGATCCCAGGTCAGGACGAAAGAGGGGAGGAGTTGCGGAGAGGGGGGAGTTGAAAGCAGGATCTGGGAGGAGTTGAGAGGGGCAGAGAAGGGTACAAACAGGTCAGAACGTAGAGAAGAGAGGGGCTTGGTGTGTGCAACCAGGTCAGGGCGCGAAGAGGGCGGGAGTTCGGGGGAGACACTGCATGGTGCTTGTGTGTGTGGAACGTAGCTGCTGCGTCTGGATTCTTCTGGGTGCTTCCAGGACAAGGATTAGAGATTGAGTGCTGTTAGTGCAGCAGGTTAGTAATCCTGCAGAGTTGGTGGATGCATTATTTGGTAAGAACAGTTAAGATGAGCATAAGGTGGTTGCTCTATGGATGGTTGGATGCAAGTCAGTCCCTTCTATTCTAAATGTACAGTCCTTTTTTGCTTTTAGCAGTGTGCAGGTACAGTGCACAGCAATGAACCAGTATAAGTACCGATATTATATATATAGACAAGGAAAATGGTTAACTCTGCACGCTCATTGAAGCTGAGACCCTCTCTCGCAAAACAAGACTGAAGTTTGGCTCCTGGGACCATCACAGAAGGTCATGAGACGGTCAGAAGGTGCTTTTGATACGCGATAGAAGCAGGTGGCCGTCAGCCTACCAAGGGCAACCGCGGTTGCTGTGTTACACTGACGTTTTGCTGCAAAAGCTGTTAAGAAAAGTCATACGGTAAGTCAACAAGCTTGCAAGTTGACTGTTCCACCTGTGAATGCAGACACTCTTATTTCCACACCCAGCTCTTGCTGCTGCTGCTGCTGCTGCTGCTTCGTTGCTGCTGCTAATTAGGTGCAAGCGCCACACAGCAGCTCCCTTGCACTTAGAAAAGACTCAAGCAACCCCAGCAGCACTTAGCTAAGAGAACTCCACAGAATTCGCGAGGTACAGAAGGCTGACTGCGCTGACGAGGTGCCACGTGGAGTGGCGCACCACGAAATCCCACTGGCAGCGCGATTTGCGGCTCCATGCGAGGCACGAGAGTGACAGCAGCGACAGCGCTGCGACCTCCGTGCGCTGCGCCGCCGACGCGCAGTAGAACGCCATGGCGCGGATTGGGCCTAGCAGCGCTGGGGGGGGGGAAAGGCGGAGGGGGAAAGGGGGGGGGGGGGAAGAGGAGGGTCTGCCTTTGAGTCGTCTCAAAAGCGGAGCCTAGCAGCGCTGGCGGAGGGGGGGGGGGAGACGGAAAGGGGAAAGGGGAGGGGGGGAGGCGGAGGGAGGGAAGGCGGGGAGTGAATCACGGCGCTGCACCGCCGACGCGCAGTAGAACGCCATGGCGCGGATAGGGCCTAGCAGCGCTGGCGGAGCGGGAAAGGCGGAAACGGGAAAGGCGAAAAGGGGGAGGCGGGACGGGGGAAGGCGGAGGAAGGGAAGGCGGGCAGAGGGGCACGGGGAGAGTAAGAAGGTAAGTGATACGAAGAGAAGAAGGGAGGTATAGGAAGTGGTACTCAGAATGTTCAGTAACGAGCGCGTTACGAGTCTTCACGCCTTGAAGACTTTGACGCATTGACTCGTAGACTCACTGGCGCAGGTTGCGAGAAAGCGGTCGACGCGCGGCCAGAAGCGCGATGACGTGTGTAGACTGTCCGTGAAGAGGCTGCTGATTGTCACGAGCGTGAAAACCGCCGCGAGAACCGGACACGCGTTGATCCAGAAGGCGTATGCGACGGCCAGGTACAGCAGCGACGACACGGCGACGATTAGCGAGAACTCCACGCGCATGTGCGGCGACTCGCCGCTTCGCATGATCGTGAAGTGGTGGTGTAACCAGGTTACCGGCCACGCGAGAAGGACGAGGAGGGAGATGGTGAGCAAGCGGGGAACTCGATACCGCCTTACGAAGTTTCTAAGATGTGAGTATTTGAATCCCCTGCGCGTAGTATGACCGGGATGCGCGGCGGAGGCAGACGCGGACGCGGACGCGGCCGCCGCCGCCGCCGCCGCCGCTTCCGCCGCGGGTGCGCATGCGCTTCGCCGCCCGTTGGTAGTGATTTCATCGGAGGCAATGCCGTAACCAGAGAATGGTTGCGGGTGTTCTTTTAACGAGAGCGAGGGGCCATCGCACATGCAGCTCTTGGTGGCGTCGCAGTCGCAGAGGAGGCAGATCGCCGCGGTGGTCGCAGCGTTAGGAAAATCCATGGAAGAGGTTTAGGCGTTGCGGAATTTAGGCTCTGCGGGATCTAGGCGTTGCGGGATTAGACTCTGGAGAAGGCAGGGTGCACGAACAGGAGGCGATTCGTGAGTCCGTGTCAGTAGGAAGCCCGAAATCTCCGTGAGCACGTGGTAATTTCCGAAGCGGGTTTGTCCTCGCCTGAAAGGGAATGGCGGCTCGGCAGAAGTACTGAAATCCGTGCAGAAAATGAACGGGTTTCAAATGCCGGCTCGAAGAAGCTTCAAGCTGGCAGCTGTACAAAGCAAAGCGGTGCCGTTACACTCTTAGGTAGTCTGTGAGCGGAAAACCCACTGAGCACGGCCGCAGCAGCCGCTGAGTGGATATAGCAGCGCTGTCTACAAATCCCCTTTGCCACTTCGTCCTTAGCTCTCGTGAAATGCAAGCCGCAAATCGCACAGCACAAGGTGAAAGGCACAAGCTGGTTCGATTGTACTGTATGTACAAGAAGTGCACCGAAGGTGTCATATCACTCGTGAACGGGAAGCAAGCGAATCTGGAAGAAAGCAAGATATGGCATCGTTGTAACATGTGGAGAAGAAGGGGAGGGGGAAGGGTTCCGCGGAAAGTTCGAGCCATTCGAATGGTCTGGTTTCGGATGGTTTTGCGACATGGATGCTTTTGTTTCTTTCCAGGATTTATGTGCGTGTTTGTGCGTTTCAATACGTTTCTGTGCGTTCTCTTTGATAGGACTTGGTGGATGGCGGCTGGCGCGGAGCAGATGCAGTTGCGAATTTCGTCAGGTTTCCCTGGCGAGATTCGTTCACTCACACTGAAGAGGTTTTGCGAGAAGGAAATGGCACACATTCATGTGTTACGACGACGTTATTTTCGTTACCGCGCCTGGGGGAGGAGGGAGGGGAGAGGGGTGGGGTGTGGAAAGCATGCGCCGCCTGTTCCGCGCTGAGGAATCCTTGCCCCTGTGATTCCCCCGATGGCAGCGCTCGCAGACCTCATTCGACTGCAAGATACACATGATGCTCACCCCCTGCACGCGAAATTGCCTTGTACCGGATGGAAACCTTGCACTCGTGAGTTTTTTGCCCTGAAGTTGCACCCACGTTTAGAGCGCCTTGGACTACTTACCCAAGTTGCCCAAATACAACCGAGAATGAATGTAGGGCACAAAACAAACTATGTGGACCAGTGTTATCCCTGTTTCCAGGCCAGAAACAAGGGTTGCGAGGTGCGTGGACGAAACCCACAACCCGTAGTCACCAATTTCGCTTGCCACGATGTGCCACGTAAGGTGTTTCATCGTGACTCAAACAGACCACCATGAAAATGGGTTAGGCCACCTGTACCTTGCCCCTGCTCGGTACAGACACCTTCGGGGCCTCTCGTTGTGCAGCATACCCACGTCACAACTCACGGTGGTGGTTACATGGTAGCATTTTGCCTATAACCAACACCCGATACATTTGTTCAACCCAATGAAAGGCCCATCCCTTGTCAATTGTGGCCCCTTACACCTCTCTCAGTGGCGCGATCCCGTAGAGATAAAAAGGCATCGTTTTTCACTCGTCATTCATAGTCTCTCATACCCACGCTCACCGCCATGGCCCACCTCTACCACCGCGCGCAGCTCGGCCTGCCGATCAAGAGGGCGATCTGCGCCCACCATGTTGCCAACCCGCACCTGCGACATGTTGATCTTTCCCGCTGGTGCTTCACTCGCTTCGGGATTCGTCCCGACCGCAGCACCATTGGGCGCGTGCTCAAAGGTGCCGACCGCTGGGTGCGACCTGATGGGGCCGACGACGTGGTGCGTGTGCGCGGCGGTGCTCACCCCGAGCTCGAGCGCGCAATGGCCCGCTGGATCGCTAATGCGGGCCCTGCTTGCGTGCCTCTCACTCTCGCCACCATCCGCGACCACGTTGCGAGAATGGTGCAGGACAGTGGCATTCCCTCGGCATTTCGCTGCTCCATAGGCTGGGTTCGACGCGCGCTGCGCTGCTAGGGTGTCCGCTGCATGAGCGCGGTTGGCGAAGCGGCCGACCAGGACATGACGGCTGTCCGCACGACTAAGAAGAATCTGCCGCAGCTGTTGATGCATCTCTCCGTCACACCGAATGACACCTTCAATTTTGACGAGACGGCATTGTATCTCTCAATCCTGCCGCGTAAGACGTACGGCATCACCCACACGGCCGGCCGGAAGATAGCCAAGGAGCGTTTGACGGTCGGCTTCCTTGTCAACGCCCGGCGGATCCCGTGTCTTCAGGCCCCTTGTGATTTCGAAGGCGAGGAGGCCCCACGATTTCCGCCCCGACTACAACCCCGAGGAGCTCTGCTATTGGCGTAATAACGACAAGGGTTGGATGACGAAGGCGGTGAGTTTTTGTACTAATGTTTCTGGTCTTTAATTGCATCATCTAATGTTCTCTTGTATTTCACAGCCGTGTTACTTACCGTGTATAGTTGCGTGTTTACCCCCTTTCCCGTCCTGTAGTTGTTCACTCACTACATCGAGCAGCTTGATGCTACGATGTTTGCGGAGGGCAGGAAGATCGTAGTGCTCCTCGATAACGCCAGCAGCCACACGCTCACCACCGAAGGCGCCACGATGGAAGACATGTTCGGGTTCCGCACCGTGGCGCTCGGGAACGTGCGCCTCGTGTATCTGCCGCCGAACACGACATGCTTCACGCAACCTCTTGACCAGGGGCTTATCTCCATGGCGAAGGCGCACTACCGCCAGCACTGGCTCCGCGCATTCACTGGCATGTGGTGCACCGACGGGGCCACTACCGCTGCCGCTCGTTTCAAGCCGAATTTGCGGCTCGTGCTGGAGTGGCTGTCCGATGCTTGGATGAACATCGGACCGCGCGCCATCCAGCGCTACTGGTGGCGCACGGGATGTCTTCCTCACGTATGGGCCTTGTCGCTCCCGCACGTGGGAGACAACAACGGCAACAACGGTCCGAACGGGGCCGTCGCCGGGAGAGGGAATGCGGCCGACATCGGCCTCGATCAGGAGGTGAATGATGTCGGCCTCCTCATTGACCGACTGTGCCTCGGGCCGAGCGCGATGGCGGCCGCCGATTTCGTCCACATCGACGCCAACCAGCCCAACTGCGCCGAACCGGGTGAGGACCCGCTTGCGAGGGAGCCGGAGTCGGCCGCGACGGCCGCAATGTGGGAGGCGCCTACTAACATGCAGGCGGTCTATGACGACTGCAACCCTACGTCGCGCGAAGCGCGGCGCACCGCGCGCGCCGCGTGCGAGATGCTGATTGGTTATGCGCGTGCGACGTGCATCAGTCCGCCCGACCTTTGCGCCCTGTTCGATATCCGCAACCCAATCATCGTTGCGAGGATGGAGTGGGCTAGCCCGTCTCTCGATCTCAACCACGCCCCACCTCCGGCTGTGTCTCATGCGGACACCCCGCCGCTTGAGACTCCTCGTCGCCGTGGTCGGGTGCTTCCGGCGTGGATGCATGTGCCCACTCCAGACTGGGTGGCGCAGTCTGCCCGCCGCCAGGAGCTTATTGATGCCGGTGCACCTGCAGTGATGAGCGGTTACCTCGCAGCCGCAGAGTGGATGCCGCTGTGAGAGGGGATTTCGCCCCCCTAGGTGGAATTCGATTCCTTCACTAATGCATCAGGTGTACGTCTTGTGCACATTTGCAAGAGATGGGCTGTATGACGTGGTCTTTGGATTGGATACAGGTGGAGCAGCTTCATTGGGTGGATGTGTGTATGTGTTGTTTGTGACAGTGAGGGACATGAACTGTAATGGGGTGTTAATGAAGTGGGCGAAAAATTGTGGTAACGACCTCTATGAATGCACGTCAAACTAAGCCACCCAGCACTGCTTAGGGAAAGGACAAGCGTGTTACAACCCCTGCCTTTTAAGAGCACCACATGGCCGTGGCGAAAGCCACGAAGTGACCGAGATGACAAAAGCGCTTATAAGTCCAGAGCACAAGAGATTGTTGGGAGATTATAACGCGCATCCGGTGTATCTGCGTATCGAATGGCAAACGTCTTTCAACCCCCAGTACCATTACTGTAGGAGTTGAATGGGCTGACACACGTGTAGCCAGAATGTGCTGGAAACCCGTCAGAAGCGTGTATCTAGTGTACAGTGTTGTCGTGGCTTTTGCGCGCCAATTCCATAGTGCTGTCCGAACTGCTCTGGCGAATAATGTGAACCACTCGGCATCGATTAGGAACAGCTGGAGTTCGGCATCTCCCACGTCAATACAAATCGTGTGTGCCACGTCGGAAAAGGCGAGCCTCAGCACAAGTAATTCCACGTCAGAGATCGAGAGACACAAGCACAGAAAATCTGCAAACTCGCATTTGATTGGCCTTTGTGCTGATGTCTCTTGATTGTACCACCCACGCAGAGAGCCGCTTCCTAAGGGTGGGGTGAGGTGTACAAGAGCTGAGTTCTCCGAGTTCAGCAACTACGATATGAAAGTAACGAACTTAGTGCTTGACTTCATCACCCACATATTGGACAAACATATATTACAATAAAACTGAACGGTTTGATTAAGCATACATACACTTATTTCAAGGCAGCAGCAAATCATCCACAGGGTTATTTCCCGCCATCAATTATCCACGGAATTCGTCTGTGCTTGCCCCTCTCAGCGCTGCTCCCACACGCACCATCATTGCTACTTAAGATAGCGTTACTGCTACGGGGACTGCTGGTCGCGCAGGTAACACCGCTGCCATTGCTGCTGGCAGCAGCACCAACACAAGTACGCCTGCCACCCCCAAGTTTAGACCCCCAAACCGAGTCATCTCCCTCCTCTTCCTCCCCTTTCCCCACACTCTTTAGCTCCAGACCCCCAGCTCCTCCTTCTACTGCTCCTGCTCCTGGTCTTGCTCCTGCTCTTGCTCCTGCTCCTGCTCCTGCTCTTGCTCCTGCTCCTGCTCCTGCTCCTGCTCCTGCTCCTGCTCCTGCTCCTGCTCCTGCTCCTGCTCCTGCCACTGCTCCTGCCCCTGCCACTGCTCCTGCCCCTGCCCCTTGCACTGGGATCACCTTCACTGCTATCGTACCCACCCCTCCCACTGGCCTGCTCCCGAGCGGAGTGCGCAAGGAGGGGGAGGAGGAGGAGGGAGACAATCTTCTAGACGTCTCACTACCCGCCGCTCCCACAGGCCTGCTCCCAAGGGCAGTGCGGGAGGGGGAGGGAGAGCAGCGGGCTAGTCGGCCCTGCACGCCAGACGGCGAATGCGACGAGCCGGGGGAGTGGACCACGTGGGGGGAGTGCGGGGAGAAGGGCGAGCGGGCTGCGTGGGGGAGAGAAAGAGACTCGGCCAGGCTGGAGGAAGCACTGAGGCTCACAGCAGAAGTAGCACAGGAGGAGGTGCGATGCAGGGGCGACAACGACACCGCCTTTTGGGAGTTTTGAGACGCCTCAAAAGTCGCGCGGGCGGCGTGGGGGAGAGAAAGAGACTCGACCGGGCTGGAGGAAGCACTAAGGCTCGTGGCATTGGTAGAGCAGGAGGAGGTGCGGTGTAGGGACGGCGACGACAATGACGGTGGTGCTGGTGGTACGGCACAGCTCATGCTGGCACTGCGAGGAATGTACATGTACTGCTGCCCTGCTGCACTCATCGCCATCGCTGCTGCCATACTCGCATCCATATCCATTCCCATGCCCATGCTCACAGCCATGTCTGAGCCTCTGCCTGTGCCCATGTTGGGGGCGAAGGTGGTGTGGGTGGTGGTGGTGTGCGAGAGGGCCTTGATGTACGTGGGGGCTTCGTGACAGGACTCCGAACGCGGGATGACTGGGATGACCGGGATGAAAGGTGGAGAATCGATGGTATGGCCTGCACTGCTCCTGCCCTTGCTGTTCTTGCTGCTGCTGCTGTTGTTGCCGCCGCTGCTGCTGTTGTTGCTGTTGCTGCTCTTGTTACCGCTGATGCTGCTGCTGCTGTTGTCGTTGGTGCTGCTGGTGCTGTTTCTGCGCGGGTTCCGGCCAGTGGCGGCATCGCTGCTCCTAGGTTGAGGCCTGTTGCCGCTGATGCTCCAGCTGCTTCGGCCAGTGGTAGTGGCGGTAGCAGCAGAGGAAGCATAAGAGGAGGAGGAGGAGGTGAGGGAGGTGAGTGAGAGCATGGATGCTGTAGTGATGCTGCTCAGACTGCTGCTCCTGCTGCATGCCTCACTGCCAAGCCCACTCACCGAATCACCCTCTGCACCGCTCTGAACCGCACCACACTCCCCGTCACCATCCACACCACCAGAGACGACGCCACCACCAAATCCTCCTCTCTTCCCGCCTCCGCCCTTCTGACACCCATCCCCATCCACATCCCCATCCCCGCGTTCCACCCCTGCTTTCCCCACACACCCCTCCTCTTGCACCTCCTCGCCAAAATCCTTCCCTTTCCCTTCGCCCACCAGCCACAGTATCCCTCTGCTGGAAGACCTTCTATGCCTGCCGCTGCTTCTCCCCGTGCTTCCTCTCGTTGCCGCCGCCGCCGCCGCTGCTGCTGCTGCTGCTGCTGCACCTGCTGCACCTGCTGCTCCTGCAGCTGTGGTGGCGTGCGTTGAAACAGCCGATCTTTGAGGGCCGCCTTCGAAAGCCGCTGCTGCGTGCGTCAGCGCAGCAGACATGAGACGCAGCGGCGTTGCTGCTGCCACTCCGAATCGACTGCTAGTTGTTCGTCGCAAAGAGTGGCTTCTGACCGCCTCAGGAGGGAGATACTCAGGAGCGGCCTCCCCATCCTTCCCTTCTTCTTCCTCCCCCTCCTTTTCCTCCGCCTTTTCCTCCCCCTCCTTTCCCTCCTCCGCCTTACCGTGCCAATTCTGCAATCTGCCGCCTTCCCGTCCCCCTCCCTCACCCGCTCGATCCCCCACCTCTCCTTCTGCTGCAACAGAATGATCTTGGCTTGTCCCTTGGGAAGCAGAAAGACCCCGCTCCCCCGCTTCTCGTCCTGCTCTCCCTCCTCTCTCTCCCCCCCTCCCACTCTCTCCACCTCCACTCTCACTCTCCGTCCTAGCAACCTGTTGCCCCTGTTGCTCCCTCTCCCTCTGTCTCTCCCTCTGTTTCTCCCTCCATTCCCTAGCCCCGCTGTTATCCTCCAATACATGCACCACCGCCCCACCCCACCAGTTCCGCCCCCTCTGCTGCCCCTCGCTCGGCCCATACTTAGCTAAGAACTGCGCGTCGCTTAGGAACGGATCTCCCCGCGCCAGCACTGCTGCTGCCGCCGCTGCCGCTGCTGCCGCTGCTGTCGGAGCCGGCGCGTTTGCTGCTGCTGCTGCTGCTGAGGAGAGAAATGATGATGAGAGTGATGACGATGCTGCTGCTGCTGGTGAGGAAGAGGATGAGGATGAGGAAGAGGAAGGAGAAGAAGCAGCAGCGGCAGCAGAGGAGCTTCCAGTGGTGGTGGTGGTGGAGGGTACACAGGTCTCCATTTCATCAGCAGGGAAGCACGCGCGGGCACTTCTGCTGCCCTTGCCGCTGCTGCTGCTGGTACTGGCACTGCTGACGGTGGCAGCAGCGGTACTGCTGCTGCTGCTGCTGCTGACGTCTGCTTCAGTGGTGGTGGTGGTGCTGGTGCTGGTGGTGCCGGTGGTGGTGGTGAGAGCAGCAGCAGCGAGAGGGCCGAGAATGGGCTCCTCTACTCCGCATATGCGGCACAGCCCCAGCAGCACGTCCACCAGCGCCGCATCCACACTCTCGCGATTCGCATAGTAGAACGTCTGTTGGGAGGGAACGGAAGGGTTGGGTTGGGTTGGGTTGGGTTGAAATTGGGTTGGAAACACGTCGCGTGGAGGAGTAGAGGGCACCGCAGCACGTCCACCGGCGCCGCATCCACACTCTCCCGATTCGCATAGTAGAACGTCTGTGGGGAAAAGATGAGAGGGTTGGATTTTGTTAGGTTGGATTAAGCTGGGTTGGGTTGGGTTGGAAGCAGACGGGCTCGACGAGTAGAGGGCCCAGCAGCACATCCACCAGTGCCGCATCCACGCTCTCCCGATTCGCATAGTAGAACGTCCGCAGGGAATTGGGGGGGGGGGGGGGAGGATGGATTTGAGCTGGGTTGGGATGGGTTGGAAGTACAAGGGGTCGAAGAGGGGAGGGACAAAAACCCAGAAGCAATGTCGTGTGCCATAGTAACGAGGTGACTTTTGAGTCGACTCAAAAGAGGGGAGGGACAAAAACCCAGAAGCACGTCCACCAGAGCCGCATCCACGCTCTCCCCAGCCACACCATCCCATCCACCCACACTCCCCACCCACCTACACCCCCCTTCCTCCCCCTCCCATCCCCTCTCACCTGCACTTGAAAGACGACTTCATCCGTCCCCATGTTGGTCCCCGGTGTGTGCAGCGACTGCCAGAAGATGGTGTTGTGCGCCATGGTGGGCAGCAGTAGCAGCCCACGCTTGAGGTTCGCCTCCACTCGCCCGTCCGGCAGGAAGTTCCCCGGGTTCTGCAGCTGGCGGCGCAGGGAATGCTGTATGCTGCGTGGGAGCATGTCGTATAGCTCGTCCCTGGGGAAGGAGGAAGGGGAGAGGGGAGGGGGGAGAGGAGGGGAGAGCGACGGGTTGAAATGGAACCGTGGTGAGACGCAGCAGCAGCAGCGCAGTGAGTGCTGTATGCTGCACGGTAGCATGTCTTAGAGCTCGTCCCTGAGGGGGAAAGAGAGGAGGGTTGTTGGGAGGGGAAGTTGAAGGGAGAATGGTGGGTTGGAAATGTGCTACGACACAGCATGCAGTGATGTATGCTGCTCGGTAGCATGTCGTAAAGCTCGTCCCTGAGGAAGTGACTTTTGAGTCGACTCAAAAGTCACAGCATGCAGTGCTGTAAGCTGTGTGGTGGGTGGCATGTCGTAGAGCTCGTCCCTGAGGAAGCAAGCACACAGCAGCATGCTGCGCTCCCTGGGGAGGTCGCCCTCTCCACCTCGTCCCTGGGGTGGCGAGGATTATTCCCTGCGCTCCCTGGGGAGGTCGTCTGGCTGTTGAATAATCGTCTCCACCACCACCACGTTTGCATAGTGCAGCGCCAGCCCCCCCCCCCTCCTCCCCCCCCCCCCCCCAACGCACACACCACACACATTTAGCGCAGCACTATGCGAACCCACCGGGTCTTGCCCATGACTGCATCCGGCTGTTGAAGAATCCTCTCCACCACATTCGCATAGTGCAGCGCCAGGCCTCCACACACACACAGCACAGCACTACCTAAACCAAACCGAACCCACCTGGTCTTGCCCATAACCGCATCCGGCTGTTGAATGATTCTCTCGACCACCACCACCACATTCGCATAGTGCAGCGCCAGCCCCCACACGCCCAGCGACACTCCGCACAGCGGCGGGGGGGCAGCAGGCGCGGGGCCAAAGGCAGCAAGGATGCGCGCGCGCAGCAGGCAGAGCGCGGCGACGAGGAGCTGAACGGGGAAGTCGAGGTCAAGCGACCACAGGCAGTGCGACTGCAGCCTCTCGATCGCCTTTCCCTGCGCTACCATGTCCTGTAGCTTGTTCCACTCTCCATAGGCCTGGATGCTGATTGGGAGAGGGGGAACAGTGGCGCGGGGGCAGGGGGAATTGGGGGACCACAGGCAGTGCGACTGCAGCCTCTCAATGGCCTTTCCCTGCGCTACCATGTCCTGTAGCTTGATCCAGTCGCCGTATGCCTGGATGCTGATTTGGTTGGGGGGGAAGAAGGGAGGGGGGGGAAGGGTGGGTGGGGTGCGGGTAGGGTTGGGGGAGAATGAGGGAAGGGAGAAGCAGGGGGCTTCTCACGGGAGAGGAAGCGTCACGGGAGAGAGAACGAAAGGCGGTCAGGATGAGCAAAGCACAGGGGAGGAAAACCTGATCACCGCGTACCACTGCCCATTACCGCTCATGACCGCGCATGGCGTGTGTGTGTGAGCGAGCTTACCGTCGGTGCAGCTGCTGAATGGACTCCATCTCCGCCCGCAGTCGCTCCGTCGCCTCCGCCTGCTCCTTCATGAACCTGATGGGCGCACACGCACACGTGATGGCAGCACGCACACGCGCAAAGGCACGCGCACACGCGCACACACGCACACGCACAGGCACGCGCACAGGCACGCGCACAGGCACGCGCAGGCACACGCACACGTACACGCACACGTACACACACAGGCACACGCACACCTCCACGCACAAGCACACGCACATAGACATGGCGGCAGGCAAAGAAATGGAGAATCGCACGAGTCTTCAATCAACATAGGCATGGGAGATGGATGAGAGATGGGAGACATAAGTCACGATCCTTAACAAAGACGTAACACGTGCGCCAACGTCGAGACGCGTCGCGCCGCTCACCTCATCAGCGCCTCAGCTTCCGTCGCTGACGCGGTGAACTGCGCCAAGTCCAACTCCGCGGCTTCTGCGCCGCCGCCCGCTCCCCGTGGCGCCCCCGCAGCAGCGACCCCGCTGCGCGCGCCCGCGAATCCCCCCGCCCATGCGAACCGCCCTAACCCCCCAGAACTCGACGCACTGCTAGAACCGCCCGCGCCGCCCGCGCCGCCTGCGCCGCCTCCGCCAGCTACGCCGCCAGCGGGGGCGGCAGCGGAAACCGCGCGCACCGCAGGAGGAGCGGGAGAAGCGGGAGCGGTGAGTCGGTCGAGCATATCGCCTAACGAGTGCAGCCTAGGATGCCGGCACTTGCGGCCCAGCACGGCCACTCGTAGCGCCACGCTCTGCAATTCCTCCGCCTTTTCCGCGCCGGCCAGGCTCCACAGGAGCTGCAGGTCGGGGGAGATTAGGGTTACCACGCCGGGCGCCTGGAGGTTAGCTCGAAGCGCGGCCAGAGAGCGCTCGCTCGTCGAGTCGTCGATTTCTAGGAGGCGTCGCATGATGCACCCAATTTCGAACGCCAGCATTTCGGTTTTTACGGCTCCCCCGGCGGCTTGCGCGCCCGTCGCCGCGCCTCCACTACTACTAGCAGTTGCGCCTCCTCCCGCGACGCCACTGCCCGCTGCCGCGCCTGACGCGGCGGCGCCGCCGCTTCCGCCGCGAAGGGCGCGGTAGCCGCCAAAGCCCGCCACTAGCGAGAGGGAGCTGCTCTTGCTGCTTCCCGGGGCGGGGACAGGCGGAAACATCCTGCGCGCCATGCGCTTTAACGGGCCGTCCCCGCCGCCGCCACCGCCGCCGCCGCCGCCTAAAGACAGCCCCATCAGCCCAGAGGACGGCCCGACGCGCGGCGACGACGTGGCTCGTGCATCCTGACGCGACGTAAAGCCGAACCGCCATTTTCCCTCGCCGAATCTCCCCTTTTCCCCCTTGGACGTGTCCCTCCCGCTTCCGGCTGATCCTGGGCGGGGCCCTCCCCCTCCAGCGCGCCCTGTTCCCCCGCCGCCCTTGTCCTCCGCCGCCGGCGGAGCGCTACCGGGAGAGCGGAGCGCGGAAAGCTTTTCTTTTTGCGGGTTAAGCGCCGCTGCGCCAATCCAGGTTCCGCTGCGCGTGCGCTCCAGCCCTCCGCCGCTTCCCCCCGTCCGCCCGCCATTTCCGAGGGCGCCGGGGGCGGCCGGAAGTCGGCGGGGCTTTTGCATGAACGCGTCGGTGCAGAAAGGAACGTAAGTTGGTGCGGGATGCGGGGGACGAAGTGGGATTGACGAAGTGGGATTGACGAAGTCGGTTTGACGAAGCAGCATACGACTAGGAGCTTAATCGCGTGCCTCTGGGTTTTGAATAGCACCTGTGCGTGCTTTCTTTGCCTAAAAATGGCTGACGATCCTTCATTTCTTTAGAGTCGACTCGGGACGGCGAGTGAATGAGGAAGTTACTTAGTTATAGATAGGCTCGCTATATCTACAGGCGAGAGGTACAGACCGGCACTGCCTGACCGTGGACGGATTGCCGAGTCGCTGGCAGCGAACCACTAGGTGCGGGCTGACTTATAAGTTTCGCGACGCGAACGGAGGAGCTCTGCAGCGTCGCTTTGGCCGGGCTGCCGGCCGCTCTCAGCGCGCCGCGTCGTGATCTAACGGATCGTCACGATAATCGCACGCGCTCCGAAGTTGAGCAGACCTGCGTTGTGCGCTGGGATTATCTAGATTGCAAATGACGTTGAAGCAGTTGTGCAGTTCAGGGGGGAAGACGAATCGACATTATGAAGCAAAGGGTGTTGTGCTGTGGAGCATGGGAAGCAGGGAGAAAGAAAGGGTGGAGACGAGGGAGGGAAGGAGAGGAGTTGGCCCAAAAGGAAGCTGCTGCTGTCGAATTCTATCCCGCGATGTGTCACGTGTGGTTTTGCTGTTGGGCGAAGTGAGGGGGCGGGTTAGGTGTACTGTACACCTACTCCGGTTTCTCCTGGCCTGGCTGTCTGCTGGTCTGGTACTGTACAGTGCCCGGAAGTGGGCCTGCTGCTAGGGCTGCTTTGCTTTGCTGGGGAAGGAAAGAGCGGGTTGGAGTGCTCAACGCTGGTCCGTTCGGCCCTCTACACCGAAACACACTGTAAGGATAAGATGATGACATTAAAAGTAGCACATAAGCTAAGAAATGCGCTTTGAGCTAACATTTTTTTGTGCCCACTGCAGAGATTCGGCAGCAAGAAACTGGCCCATGTGGTCATTGGATGTGCACTTTAGTCAGGTGTTGGGTTCACTGAATTCCCACGAGGGTGCCGATCAGTGGTAAGAGCGTGTCCGAAGTGAAGCGTCGAGGGATATTGGTAATGTCAACCCTCGGATCGAGAGTTCCAACCGTCAGGATTTAGCAACATCAGATGTCAACAGATGTCGCCTTCACTTCGGACCCGCCCTAAGGACATGGTGAAAGTAGATATCGCAGGATCGCGCGTATATATCGATCCGTAGAATCGATTGGGCGGATCGCTTGGCGAAACGATACGCCCATGCGGTTGTAACGATCGCCCTTGCGGGATGGGTTGGATGTTACAGAATAAAGATTTCGGCTTTTCGTACGACACTGTCTCAGAAAGAACCTTTTCGCCCAACTACACCTGAGATGTTCGCAACCAACAAGAAAACCAGCTTGAAACTCCGCAAAATGTTAGGATCATGGGTGCCTCCGTTATTGCTCTGCGAAATTTCAGCACTTCGCAGGCATCAGCATCAATCGTGCATGTTGTGATAGGTTCGTGCACATCATCTGCGCATTGATGCTGCAGAAAGTTTTACAGTGATCAGTCGCATTCACTTACAGTGCACCAAAATTGGACAGAAACCTCTTTGTAGCATAGTTACACAAGAGTAAAAAGGTATTTTTAAAGAGTAAACAGGGTAACCAATCCGCCCACCGATCGCAAATGACGATCGTCAACTTTTATCGCGTCCTAACTTCAACTATCTGGACTAAAGAATTGGGTGAAGTCCCTGGATCATACCATATGATCGACAGTGCGTAATATGGAGGCTTGCGTTACTCGAAAAACACGAGTAATTACTGTACACGCTTGAAATCCCATCCCATGCTTTCAAGTGTGGTGGCGGCGGAAGCGCGACTGCAGTCAACGGAGAAAAGCCAGTGGATGAATCTTGTGATGGAACTTGGAAGCTTGGACAACATGAATCTTGTGTAGTTGAAAGGGATCTGGACGGCTGGAGATGGGTTGGGAGGGTAGAAATCCAAGCACCGAATCCAGCGAAAGCTGGACTCGCTGCCCTGGAAACCATTCCACAACGCTGCCCGTTACTATATAATTTCCTGAGCACACCACATCTCGAAAGAGCAACAAGAATGTGCTGCAAGTAAAATGCCATTTGTTTGGTGGGGAATTGTGTTTCTTTCGTCAAGAACGATGAATCATGTGGAAAGTTGAGCTGTACGCAACAGTGGGCAGGATGTGAAAGACATCGGTTACTGCAGCTGCACAGCTGTAAAAAGTCGGTTACGCCATCTGAACTGAACGACTCGGGTGGTACATGCTCGCCATTGGCAGGCATCACGTAGTCACAGGCTTGATGATGACAAACCAGCAGGGGCACTCGGCATCCACCAGGCTAGGCCGTGTTCCTGATCAGAGTAAAAAACGTCTGCGACTTTCAGCTAGGACTCATTTTTACACGTAATTCTTCCTAGCCATTAGTGTCATCTTTTGGCCTTCATTTGCCAGGAGCGAGCATCATGGAATCTTCTGCAATTAGCAATGAACGGCTTTCACACCCATTGTACGAAGAAAGCAGTAAGAACTATCCGTCGACTTCGTATACTCATTACGTCGCGAAGGGAATATAATTTTGACGGACGGCGGTAGTAGCTCACTTGTTGAGCGCACGCTCGAGCGGTCACGCAACCACTCTAAGCCCGATTTCCGCGTAAATAGGTCTCAGGATCTCGCCCGTTTTACAGCTTACCCTAACGACATGTCCGTGTGATGCGCGCAGCCTGCCGCGCGCTCTGATGACTCCATAGGTCGCCTGCTCTCAGAGCAGGGTTCCCTCTGGCTGACGGCGAGCTTGGGATAGTAACTAGCGACGCTTTGGATAATCTTAATAATCAAATTATCGTGAAATGGTATAGCGGAGCACGAATGCAAGTTCACGCCCCGTTCCCCCCTTTCACTTCCCACCCGCTCCCATCCCCCTTGCCCCTCCCCGCGCCGTCGCTCCCTCCTTTGGCCTGCTCTCCCTCCTTTCGCTATTGGTAGAGGCATTCTTGCCTCCTCACTCCGTCTTGCCCCCGCTCATCCCTCATCCCCCCGTTGCTCGCTCCTCACCCCATTGAAAATATCGATAGCATGCCGTCCCCCCTGCGCTCATCCCTCCCTTGCGCGCATCCCTCCCCTGCGCTCCCCGCTCATTCTCCTTGCGCTGGTCCCTTTTCCCCCCCGCTCATTCTCCTTGCGCATGCGCTCACCTCTTATTCCCCCACCGTTCATCCCTCGTCCATCCTTGCCGCTCATCCCCCTTGCACTTATCCCGCATTCCCCTTGCTCCCATCAGCCCCACCTGTGCTCCCGCCTTCTCTCCCACAACGCTCATCCGCTATTCCCCTTGTGTTCATCCCTCATTCCCTCTGCGCTCCCTCATTCCACTGCACTCAACCTTTCCCCTTGCTCATCTCTCCCCCCTCCCCTCACCCTTCCCCATGCCCTCGTCCCTCCCCCCTCCCCTCACCCTTCCCCATGCCCTCATCCCTCCCCCCTCCCCCCTCCCCTCACCCTTTCCCATGCCCTCATCCCTTCCCCCTGCGCTCATCCCTCCTTTGCCTTGTACTAGTTCCTCATTCGCTCTGTGCTTATCCTTCCTTCCCTCAGCTCACCCCTGACCCCTTTACACTCATCCGTCCTCCTGCACTCATCCTCATCTCAATGACAACTGTACAAGTTGCTTCACCACCTGGCAAAAAATGTACATTGTCCACTCAAGTCAGCCTATCACATGAAGTCATTTAGTAGTGTTTTGTGTCGCTGACATTGCATTTACTGGCTTCAGAGAGCACTGTGCTCATCTGGCTCTGGTCAGTTGGAGGGGCACATGACAAAATTAGGCACGACGTTATAATCTCTAATAAGAAGGAAAACGGTAACAAATACCGTCAAATATGTTGCCACAGACAAAACCTCATGTGAATGGAGGTTAAATACTCCAGCTAGACAAGGACCTATAAATTAAGTCTGGCACAGTTTGGTTGAGCTTTGTCACAAGGCGCCAAATAGGAATTCGGATGAGTCTGTCTGTTGTTCTGAATGTAATGTTGTGTGGAAACCTAGTTAGGAATGGAAATTATACCACCAATGCTGTCTAGAGTTGTTGTTACGGGTGCAATGGAACGAAGCAACGAGAATTGCACTAGGGTGTCAAACGAGTACAAGATACGAGCGAAGGCATGAATACTTCTACGCGAAACATATGCAAACGGTAACGCGGTGCGTGCGAGCTAGCTAGTGCTATGCTGGCAGCGAGGTTTGGGCTACCCGAAGCGTAGGCCGACTTGGTTGGGCCAGCAGTGGGAGGTTTGGTGAAACAGTGCGCGCAAAGTTGGCAAAGCCCCGTTAGCGCAACGGGCAAACAACGGCTGCTGCTGTACGCGACGTTGCTGGTCGCGATAAGGAATGTTGAGAAAATTCCTTACACTACCCCCCCCTCTCAAGAAGCCCCCCTCCGCTACGCGAGTGCGTGTATTGTCGAACTAGATGTCTATGTTATAATGATATGTAGGCTTTAGTGGGGTAGCTAATGTAGGGTATAGGTTTTGTTACTTGTACCCAACTCTCTCGATAGTCATCACACCTTCTCGATAGTCATCACACCTTTTTTTCCTTTACTTTCAACATGGTATTAAGAGAAAATAGGTCCTTAGGACAGTTTTAGGACTGTTTTTTTCAGGGCCCACCAACTGTTTTCCGCCGGTTACCGCGTTACCCCGCCCCCTGCCTCCACTGGCCTGAGTCGCGCAGCCCTCGCGCTCGCCTCTGCTGGCCCTCGTGCATCCCGCTAGCAGCCCGCCCGCTGCCTCGTCAGCCCCGCGCGTCGCTTGCCAGCTGCCTCGTCAGGCCCGCGCGCCGCCCCGCAGCCCTCGCGCTGCCTTCTACTGCCCCGCGCGCCGCTTCGCAGCCCTCGCGCTGCCTTTTACTGCCCCACGCGCCGTCTCTCAGCCCTCGCGCTGCCTGTACTGACCCGCGAGCGCGCAACAGCCCGCTGCCTCGCCAGCCCCGTGCGACGCCCGCACAGCCCGCCCGCTGCCTCTTCAGCCCCGCGCGCGGCCCGCGCGGCCCGCCCGCTGCCTCATTAGCCCCGCAGGCTGCCCTCCCACTGCCCCAGCAGCCCTCGTACTGCCCTCCCACTGCCTTAGCAGCTCTCGTACTGCCTTAGCAGCCCTCGTACTGCCTTAGCAGCCCTCGTACTGCCCTCCGACAGCCTTAGCTGCCCTCCCATTTCCTTAGCAGCCCTCGTACTGCCTCTACTGCTCTGCGCGCACCACTCCTCCGCCCTTGCTGCTCCTCCCCTGTCTCTGCAGCTTCGCGTACCGCCCCTACCGCCCTCACGTAGCCCTTGCCGACCGCGTGCTGCCTCAACTGTCGTACTGCACTGACCATGGCTTCTATTAGCGTACTGTCGTTCGACCCTGAAGGTCGCCCAGTCGAGTTCGATGCTTGGCTAGAAGATCTTCAGCTGTATCTTATGACTGATGCCAAGGACGGCGTTTCGCTCTTTGACTTAGCCAAAGGTTCCTCAGTCGCTCCAGACACAGCTGACAGCATCGCTCACTCACAGTGGCTTACCCGTGACGCTACTGCATGCCTAGCCATTCGCAACCACTTGCCTCTAGCCGAGCGCACCCACTTTGGCAAGCACAAAACCGCTAAAGCACTGTACGCTGCTGTCATCGTTCGCTACTCTTCTCCTGCCACTGCTGCCCTCAGCCGCCTTATCCTACCCTACCTTTTTCCTGAGCTCTCCTCCTTTGCCACAGCTGAGGACCTTATCACTCATCTCCGCGCTAGTGACGCTCGTTACCTCGCCGCCCTCCCGACCGAGTTCTTAGACAAGAACCCTCCTCCGATGTACATCACGCTCTACTTCATTGTCAACCGACTCCCTGACTCTCTTCGTGTCGTCAGGGACCGCTTTCTAGCCCTTCCCCCCACCGACCTCACAGTCGACGACCTCGAGAAGCACCTGCTTGCAGCTGAGTCCAACATCGTAGCTGTCGGTGCTGCTCGTGGCACTAACCGCACTCCCCTCTTTGAGGGGTGTGCCCCCTCCCCCCTTCTCCCCTCCCACGCCTCTGCTGCTACTGTTGACCTCCTTGGTGATGAGAAGGTCGGTGCCGCTTCTACTTCTGCTGGGAAGCGCCGCAGCAGCAAGGGCAAGGGAGGCAAGGGTGGCGGCATTGGCAGCGGGGGAGGTGGTGGTGGAAGAGGCGGCGGTGGGGGTGGTGGTGGTGGGGGTGGTTGCGGGGTGGAGGGGTCGGTGGCAGCAGTGGCAGCAGCGGTGCGCATGGTGGTGGTGGAGGAGGTGGGGGTAGGAGCGGTAGCAGTGCCGGCAGCAGCGGCGGTGGGAGCGGTGGTACCAGCGGTGGTGGCGGTCGTGGTGGAGCTGGTCAGCGGGGAGGTGCTGGCAGTGGCCAGCACCAGCAGCAGCAGCGTCAGCCCGAGCCCCGCAGCTTCGTGAGTGGTACGCTCAGCGTGGGACGTCTAGGGGGAGTGGTTGCTGCCCTTACCGCATTCGCACTGGTGAACGCGCTGGTCAGACGTGCAACAAGTTTCACAACGAGTACCGCTGCTTCTCTAGGCTTGACGACGCCTGGCGTACCCAGTTTCCTGATGCTACTGAGCTTCCCTATTGGGCAGACCTGCTTAGGTGTGATGTTCCTATCTTTGATCTTGACTATGATGCAATTCTTGCTTCCATGTATGCATTGACTGTTAGTGCTGAGGGTGACTGCTACTTGTGTATGCCGCCTGATCCAGATATAGAGACTGGAGCTCAAGATGCTAGTGAGTCTGCTCTCCCTGGTACTACGTCCACTCAGGCCTTGCACACCTTTACACTTGACGCTGGTGCTTCTCGCTGTTTCTTTTGCGACAGTACAAAAGTCACTCCCCTCCTTGCACCTGTCCCTGTCTCACTGGCTGATCCCTCTGGGGGCCCAGTGCTAGCACGGTCCACTACTGTGCTTCCGTATCCGACGGTCCCATCTGGTGAGCTGTCTGGTCTCTAGCTCTCCTCGTTCTCTATGAACATGGTGAGCAACGCCGTCCTTCAGGATCATTGGGTTGACACCTTTACTCCTGGAGGACAGCGTCTGGCAATCTGAATGTGCTCTTGGACTGGACGCCACCTGGCCACGTTCACACGTGCGCCTGGGTCTAGTCTGTACACCCTCACCACTGCATCGCGCTACACCCCTTTATCTCCTCAGCTGTACGCGTCCGCTCAGGTAACTAACCAGTGTGAGTGTGGCCGCCTGTCGCACCAGACTCTCCTTTGGCACCACCGCCTTGGTCACCCCTCCTTGCCCCGCCTTCGTGGCATGCATTCTCATTACCTGGTCTCTGGTCTTCCCAGGTCTCTGCCCTCCCTCCCTCCCTCCCTCGCCTGCGCCGCCCTGCATTCCTTGCGTCGAGCGGCGGCAACGCGTCGCTCCTCACTCCTCGTTCCCTCCCACAGAGGCTCCTCTGCAGACTCTCCACCTGGACGTGTGGGGCCCAGCCCGCGTCCAGGGGCAGGGCCGCGAGCGGTAATTCCTGCTGGTAGTCGACGACTACACGCGTTACACCACTGTCTTCCCCTTGCAGCGCAAGGGGGAAGTCCCTGCTGTTTTGATCCCCTGGATCCGCGCTGTTCGTCTCCAGCTCTGCCAGCGGTTCCACTCGGACTTTCCTGTCCTGCGTCTGCACTCTAACAGAGGTGGTGAGTTCACCTCCGACCTCTTGCGAGCCTACTGTGAGGAGCACGGCATCCGCCAGACGTTCATGCTTCCGGCCTCTCCGCAGAAAAATGGGGTTACTGAGCGCCGCATTGGCTTAGTTATGGAGGTCGCTCGTACCTTCATGATCCATGCAGCTGCCCCCCATCTTCTGTGGCCGTTTGCGGTCCAGTACGCCGCGCATCAGCTCAACCTCTGGCCCCGTGTCTCCGTGCCAGAGACTTTGCCCACACTACGTTGGACGGGGGAGGTTGGCGATGCGTCGCGTTTCCGGGTCTGGGGTGCTTGTGCCTTTGTCCGCGATACCACTGCGGACAAGCTCTCCCCTCACGCCATTCCCTGCGTCTTCCTTGGCTTTGTCCCTGACGCGCCTGGCTGGCAGTTTTACGACCCCACCTCGCGCCGTGTCTTTGCGTCTCAGGACATCACCTTTGATGAGTCGGTCCCCTTTTACCGTCTCTTTCCCTACCACACTGCCCCTCTCTCCCCCCCGCCGCTCTTTCTCGCTCCAGGTCCTCCCCATGTAGACCCCCTCCTCGCTCCAGGTCCTGCTCCTTCAGGTGTGTCTCAGGTAGACCCTGCTCCCTTGACAGAGCCGGTTGAGGTCACTGGTGACTCAGGTCCTACTGGGGGTGGTCCTGCTCGGGGTGCTGCTTCTGGGGGTGCTGAGCCTGGGGGTGCAGAGCCTGGGGGTGCTGAGCCTGGGCGTGAGGAGTCTGAGGGTGCTGAGCCTGGGGGTACTGGAGTCTTGGGGTGCTGCGCCTGGGGGCAGTCTCCTTGGAGTCTGAAGGTGCTGGTACTGGAGGTGCTGGCGCTGGAGGTTCTGGAGCTGCTGGAGGTGCTGGTACTGGAGGTGTTGGCGCTGGAGGTTCTGGAGCTGCTGGAGGTGCTGGTACTGGAGATGCTGGTGCTGGTACTGGAGATGCTGGCGCTGGAGGTTCTGGAGTTGCTGGAGGTGCTGGTACTGGAGGTGCTGTCGCTGGAGGTTCTGGAGCTGCTGGAGGTGCTGGTACTGGAGGT